CTTCTTCCTTCTTCCTTCTTCCTTCTTCTTCTTTTTTCTTCTGGTACAGGGTCTCACTACCTTAGACTTGTAGTAATCGTCCTGTTTTCAGCCTCCCCAGGACTGGGATTGCAGGCATGTGCCACCACACCTGGTCTTGGTGGCCAGCTCAGCATGCCTGGGGGCAGTACCAGGGTTCTAACCCAGAGTTTGATATGAGCAATTCCTCCCAGGTACCAAGAAACACTTGCATTTGTGTAGCACACCTGTATTTGTTTCAAAAATAAATTACTGTATTGATTTCTTTATATATTTATTTTTACAGGTGAAAAAAGCCAAGATGCAGGAACCAGGAGAACAAAATTTAAGGTATGTAAAATTGAAGTTCTTTTTAATGATTGTGTTTAATTACCTTTCTGTTGCTGGGACAAGTTGTTTGGCATACACAATTTAAAGGAATAAAGATCCATTTTGGCCCACAGTTTCATAGGTTTTCATCCATGTTCAGCTCTGGCTTCAAGCCAGAAATATTATGGTGGAGGGGAATGATAGACGAAAACTGCTTGCACTGTGGCATCCAGGAAGCAGAAGGGGAAAGAACCCAAGAAAAGATGTATTTTTGAGAGGCATGCGCCCAGTGACCTGCTTCTCCACTGAGACTCGCCTCTTAAGAGCCTCTTAACTCAGCAAGGGGTTAATACACTCACTGGTGAGCTTACCGCCCTCCTATTCTAGCCACCTCTTTAGGTGTAATTTAAGGGGCCACTCCAGATTGCCTTTCATAGTTGTTTACTTTCTCTTTTTTTACATGATGGTTAGTATATGGACGTGCTTTGGGTAGACTGCCCTCTTTTTTGTTCTGAATGTCAGCGTTTGCATTTGAAATTATCTGGTCTAATGTTGAAATTTCCTTCCAAGATAGAATTTCTTGAGTCCCTATTTGAGACCAGGAAAACATAGGGAGACCTCATTTGAAAGAAAGGGAAAAAAAAAAAAAAACAGTTCTCTCCAAAATGGCTATTTCCCAAAATACATTTGCTGTCTTTTCTTTCTTTCTTTCTTTCTTTTTTTTTTTTTTTTTTTTTTGGTGGTACCAGGGATTGAACTCAGTCCTTTGCGCTTGCCAGGGAAGCACTTATTCCACTGAGCCATCTCCCCGGCCCCTTTTCTTTCTTTTTTCCTTTTTCTTTTTCTTTTCTTTCTTTCTTCTTTTTTCTTTTTTTTTGAATAGGATTTTGTGATGCAGTATAGGCTGGCCTTGAATTCACAGTGATCCTCCTGCCTTGCCTCCCAAGCACTGAGATTACAGGATGTGCTTCTTATTTATGCAACAGTACCTACTGAACTCGTTTTAGATATTAGGTGCTATACTATGTAGGGGGAACCTGATGACAAAATGAAAAATGCCATATTCTAAATATCCAAAGTAGAAAGCAGAAGCCAAAATAAAGAAAATTGGAGAATTTGTTATTAACTATTAAATGGGTATGGAATGCATTAGCTCTACTCCCTCTATAGAAAAAAGGGTTAGGGGTATGACTTAGTGGTAGGACGTAAGCCTAGCGTGTGTGAGGCCATGAGTTCAACCAACGACTATTAATCAGTAGTCCAATTATTTAAATACAAGATGACAATAAAATTGCATATATTTTCACTTCTATAAGATAATATAACAGAAAATATAAAACTGACAATCTTATCAAATTTATTCAATACGAAAATAAACTTTGAAATGACACCTGCCCCGGTGATGCTCAGGATAGTCAGTACATAAGCAAGCATGCTGCCAGAGCGATGCTTGGGATAATCTGGTAAGTATTTAAAAAGGAAAAGATAAAGAGAAAAAAGCTTGGGGTGATGGTGCATGTCTGTAATCCCAACACTCTGGTGCCTGAGGCCAGAGGATTGCTGTGCATTTGTGGCTAGCTTGGGATTCATACTAAGTTCAAGGCCAGCCTGGACTATGTAGCAAGACCCCGTCTCAAAAAAAGGGGTGGAGGGATAGTTCAGTGGCATAAGCACCTGCCTGGCAAGTACAAGGTCCTAAATCCCCCTCTCCCCACCAAAAAAGGGTTTCCATGAAAAGACAGCTTTGTTTCCTTATATGCTCTGACTCCGTAAGTCCATAGTTTTTAGTTTTCCACAATCATTACCTCTTATCATTTGTCCACCAACTGTATGAGCCGGTAACTCCTTCACTTCCAACACATTCTCTTCAAAGATTCTGCTTTTACCACTACACAGTCATTCTGGTTCATTTATGCTAAAGGTGCCATGGTGGCATGGTGGCTACATGATGTCTTGCACTTCTAATTAAATCATTATATTTTTTCACTATTACCCATTCACTCTTCCCTTAAAAAGAACTTCATTTTCTTATGCTACTTAAATTTTAAGATCTAATATTATCAGTCACCTTGTAAAATTCTCTTTCAAGGAAAGGTATTGGGGATTGAATTTAGTGCCTTTACATTGAGCTACAACCTCAGCACTCTAGTTTTTGAGGTAGGGTCTCATACAATTGTCCAGGCCTAAGCCTGAGGTGGTGTCCTCCTGACTCAGCCTCCCAAAGTGCTGGCATTAAAGGCACTGTGTAGACATGTGCCAACATTCTTAACTTCCTCTTTTTTCCTGTGTCATACTTACCTAGCAAAACTACAACGTTGCTCAAATTGTTTGCCTCTTCCGTACATTTCCTGTCACTCTGACATTGTAAGAGAAAAACACAAACTTGTACTGGCTGTTCTTCATTTGTTTTTTTGTTCTCCCTGCTCCTTATAACCATCATTCTACTTTCTTTCTCTGTGGGGTTGACTGCTCTTACCTTATATAAGTGGGATTATACAGTATTATGTTTGTCTTCTCTTTTTTTTGTAAAGGCTGAATAATACTCCGGGTGTATGTTGCATTTAATACTTTGCATTATTAATTTGTCTTTGCATTCATCCCCTAATCTTGTTGATAATGGACAAGAGTTGTGCTTATTGAGAAGGAGATATTTGTGATGCTCACTTTTAAGCTTTGGGTGTTTTTACTCTCTTTTTCTTTTTTTTTTTTTTTTTTTCTTTCCATAGTTTTGGTTTTGGTTTTGTTGGTTGTTTTTTTTTTTTTTTTTTTTTTTTTTTTTTTTTTTTGTTTGTTTGTTTTGTTTTTTGGTTTTTGGTTTTTTTTTGAGAGGGGGTTTGGGATTTTTTCCAGCACCAGGGATTGAACTCATGACCGGCAAGCGCTCGGTTTTGGTTTTTGACACAGGATCTTGCCATGTAGCCTGGGCAGGTCTCAGACTCTCTGTAGTCTTCCTAACTCAGTCTCTCAACTGCTGAGATTATAGGTGTGCACCACCATACCCATCTCACTCTTGTCTGTTTATTATCATTTTATTTTGAGCAACTTTATTTTCATGATACATACACTGTTAAGCAAAATTTATATTTATATATCCTTGGATGTAATTATACTGTGACACAGGATGTAATCTCTTTAAAAATAGTAAGAATTAATGCATTGTATGTTTCTGTTTAGTTGGTAAATGCTCAGCCATGTAAGTTGAGTATGTAGAGGGTTTTACTGTTACATAAGATGCTAGGACCAAAGAATCTTAGTATTTACTGGGCCATACAAATATTTTCTAAGATACAGTATCTACAAATGCTCTTTAACAGTTGGTATAGCAGTGAATCCCAGAGTATCCAGGTGTACACCAAAGACAAACTGTTCACTTACTACAGGTTGAAATTTGAAGTTCTGACCACATTTTATATCCTTCCTCACTGGACTTTGAAAGCATGAGATACAGCTTGAAAGTCCATGTTTTATATCAGTGGTTCAGGATATTACAATGATTATAATAGGAATATACTAATATAACAAGTCTACATAATTTTTTTTACCTCATCCTAAAGTTTTCTTCTTGGTTACTATAGTAAATCATCTTCCAAAAATGTAAGCATATGAGTAAAGACATAAAAATAAACTTCTTCTGAAGATTTAGCTTTTGAAATTAAATACTTCTGAGCTAGGCGTGATGGTGCATACTTGTTATCCCAGGCCTCAGGAGGCTGAGGCAGAAAGATTGCCGTGAGTTTAAGGCCACCCTGGGCTACATAGTGCAGTCTAAGCTGGCCTGAACTGTATAGTGAGACCCTGTTTCAACAAAAATTAAATACTTCTGAGGAAAAATATATTTGAACATATAGAAAACTCTCTATTAATTCTTACATATTAGTTTCATACAGTTTCAGAAAGGACATAAGAGCTGTTAATGTTCCTATATAGTAGCTAGTCTTACCTCTGATTAGTCAGCCTTGTCTTTTTAGATATATAGCACCTCTACGACAGTGTCCTTACCTCTCCCTGAAATAGGAAAGAGGAAGAGGTCCCTTTCTAGGGAGTATGAGTATGGGTCAGGTTCCTGGACTGAAAAGAACCTGTAATATAATCATGGTGCCAGGTTAGTGTCCTTGGTATGTTCTAGCCTTGCTTTAGGTATGTCTCATACAAATATCCTGGTAAGGTTCAGTCTATTTTGTCCTCATTGACAAATAAACTAGAGCTCAGAAGTGCAACTTATCCAAGGTCATAGTAGTTACTGGGAGAATGAAATATGAACTTGAGCTGTCCAGCTCTAGAATCTGTGCTTTTAGCCACTACACTATCTATTAGTAGGGTGTGAAGTGGAAGGCAAAGGTAAAACATTGTGAGGGACACCAAGTTGGAATAATCACCATTCCTGAATTTCATTGGAATCTTCCCAGCATTACAGTATCTAACACAGTTGAATTGGCCTCCCAGTTAGCATGATTAACCTTTTAAAAAGTCTTTATTTATTTATTTATTTATTTTATGTATTTGGTACAGGGTCTGCAGGGTCTGCAGGGTTTCACTACATAAATTGGACTTGTAGTGATTCTCGTTTTCAGCCTCTTAAGCACTGGGATTGTAGGCGTGCACCATAATGCCCAGTCTCAATTGCCATCTCAGCGTGCTTCAGGGGCAGGGCCAGCACAGCACACCAGGGATTGAATCCCAGCTGCTCTCCTCTGCCTAAGCAGGCACTTTAGTCTGCTGAGCTATGTGGCCAGTCCTCTAAAAATTCTTTTGAATGTCCTACGTTAAAACAAAAAAACAGCTGGGTGTGGTAATACATCCCTGTACCAGCACTCAGGAGGCAGAGGCAGGAGGATCCTTGTGAGTTTGAGGTTAGCCCAGACTACAAAGTTAAGTTCAAGTCCAGCCTAAACTACATAATAAAACCCTGTCTCAAAACCCCAAAACATCTCAGTGGTAGAGTACTAAGTGATCATGATTCATAGCTGAGTAAGAACTATTTCTGAAATCAGGTGATTTTACCTACTTTTCTGTAGAACTCTGGAGCCAAAGGGACAGAGTATATAGACTGGTGACTGGTAAATACTAATGTATTTTATATTTCAAAATTATTAACATATTTAAAATGTATTTACCACAAAAAATAAATATGTGATGTGATGGATTTGTTAATTAGCTAGATTTTATCTTCCTACAGTATAAACAATCAAAGCATTATACTGTTTCCTATATATACATAATATACAGTGTTTTAAAAAGTGATACTGTTCTGGAGGGTTAACAACCTAAGTTTGCAGATCAAAATTAGAGAAAAAGGAGGGCTGCAAGGAAAGCCAACATTTTGGCCCTCGCCTTCCAAGGTCAATTAAGACTCAGGACATAGGAAAACTTGTACTGTAACGTCATGTAACTCGGTAGTGTCCCAAATTTTCTGATCAAGGAGATTATGGGGCCAAAGAGGAAAGTGATCGGTGATGTAGTGTGCCTAAGGAGAGTCACATGGAGAGAAAACATTCTCTCAGGCTTTCACAGAGAGCACATTGGCCAAGCAATGGCCGTGACTCATCCACATGGCTGGCACTGACAAAGGTTCTACAATCTGAGGTACAGGATCTCAGGATAAATCCTGAGGGGATTCCATTGACCTTATCAGATCCAAAAGCTACAACTCTTGTTGCATAGGTCCCGCTTTACCTTGGTCTTAACCATGCAGCAGAAAAGTATAAAAATGAAGTATAAGAAGTAAAGCCACACTGTTATGTTGAGATGTAGGGGACTCAGATCAACAATTTCTGACATTGCCAGTGAAGCGGAAGACCCAATACTATTATGGACTACTGGACTCTTTTAGAATATTTTGCTGAGTTAACGCACCTATAATATTCAAATGACGGAACTGAAGAAAAAAGGGGATACAGATGAATGTCCATTTTGTATCTGTGTATTCAAAGTGGTTAGGATAGATACATAGTTACATTCTCTTAATGGATAGAGGGATTTGTTCTAATAGTGTTTTGTAAATAGGATATCATGTCCGCATCTTGTACAGCAATTAACTACTAGAAAGAATGTATGCAATGTGTTAATTATTGAAACTGTCCTACCAATTTGGTTTGAAAAAAAAAAGTGATACTATTTTAGAAGTTTGGAATTTTTCTTGTACTGTGTTTTTGAAGAAAAATTTGGCTTACTCATGCCTTAGCCAGAGTTTCTGAGTAATATGAACATTTTTTTTAAAGGGTTTAGGAATTTGAAAAGGGACAATAGAATTCTGAGAGTACCAATCCTGGCTCTACCTGTTTTCATGTACGTGCTAAAAACCAATAAGAATATTATAAAGATGTACCTTGCCTCTTACTTGTATAGCCCAGGAGGAAAAGAGCTTGATCTCATCACTTTTAGCAATACACAAATCAATCAGGGGCTAATGTATTCATTTTGGTTCTCTCAGTCAAGTTAGCAGCCCGGATGTCAATGATCAGAAACCTGAAACATCAAGCCTTGCTTCAAACCTTACCATGTCAGAGGAAAGTAAGTACCATATTTTGTGCATGATGGAAGGGGCATTCCTGTGGCCAGGTGATGCTCTTCATGTGTAGTTGGGTTTCATGATTGCCTGGATTGTCTCAGAGTATACAGAAAGATCTCTGCTTGTCTGTGTGTTCACTTGTATTGTCCTGTAAGCTCTATTGATATAACCAGCTTGGGGGTGGCGAGGGGGAGAATAAACCTACACAGAATTTTCTCACCCAGGAGTCACACTTGGTGATTTTGTTTGAAGTCGAGTGTTTTAAAGGTAGTAGTCTTCAGGCTGGGGATATAGCTTAATAGCATAAGCACTTGCCTGGCAAGCACAAAGTTCCAAGTTTGATCCCTGATACCTAAAAAAGTTAATTAATTAATTAAAGGTAATAGTTTTCAAAATGAGAAACATTTGTGGACCAACTTTTGACTATTCCTCTGAGGGACTTGATTTTTTTTCTGCCTTTCTACTAAAACCAATTGATCTGTCAAATCTTGGCCAAGAATAAAACCAGTCCCCTGTGCCTGACATTGATATTAGGGTCTGAAGGAGATCCAGCTCAGCAAGATAAATCCCTCATGTAACAACTCTCACTTTCTTATATGACAATTACGTTTATATAAGTGTTCTTTTTTTTTTTTTTTCTTGTGGAGATAGGCTTTGTCTAAGATACCTACTTCCCCATTTGACTCCACAGAGTAAATAGTCCTTGAAATTAAATAGCTGTGCCTTATTATTTTATCACACATTTTAAAAGAGGAAATTTGTGTAAGACATTTTTTAAAAGGAATTTTTTAGAGGACTATTTCCTCTCATAAGTATTCTTTATCATTGTCCCAGCTTTCTCTCGTTGCTGGGACAAATACCCAACACCCAGAATTAAGGAAGGAAAGGTTTATTTAGCTCATAGTGAAGGTTTCAATTCATACTCAGCTGGCTCCAAGGCAGAGTACCACATGGCAGAGGATAACAGTTCATGGCATTAGAAAACAGCAAAGAGTAAAGGGGCAGAGCAGCAGCTGAGGCAGCTAGCAAGCCTCTCTCCCTTCCTTACATTGTAATGCACATTACTCAACCCAGGGCAGGAATAGCACTCACAACCATAATCCTAGCATTGGATCATGAATTAATCACAAACTTTAGGAGCCACCCAGTGACTGTAGAGGCTTTGGGGGATGCCTAGATATAAACCATAACAACCATGTATTAAATAAGATGTGACTTTTTAAAAAAAGATGTCTTGAGTTCTGTATATTATTTTTTTAAAGGTGGCTCTGGGACTCTGATTTGTAGCATAACATAAGAATCATTTGAAATGTTTGTTTGTAATGCAGAATACTAGCCATATCTTCAGAGATTATTATTCAGGAGCTCTGATACGGGTAGAATTTTCATGATACTACTAGTAGAAGAGGCTAGTACATATGGGAAACTCTATATCTTGTGGAAAACTGCTCTAACCAATGTAGTATTTCCTTAGTCCTGAGTGTTACACTCACTGGTACACACAAATATACCACCCTCTGCCAAAAAACATGTGCCTTAAAAATGTCATACTTTATGTAACGTTAGGTCCAAGAAGCAAGTAGAGTGTTCTTTATCCCTCCAAATAGTTTGTCTTCCATTTTCTTCAAAAACTCTAGCTCCTTTGAAGTCTGTATCTATACTTTTCCCATCTTTCCTTACTACCTTAGGCTGAACTACTTATAGTAGAAGTCATTCTGTTCTTTTAAGAATTAGATCGTCTGTTTTCTTCTCCACCCAAACTCTTACTGCTCTCTGTGATTTTAACATTCATGTAGATGACTTACCTAGTACCCATCCTATTTCTTTTTTATTTTCGTTTTTACAAGGGCATAGATTCTCTAGCCCTTTATTATAATTATTCTCACAAATATTTTCAGTAACAAATACTTTTAACCTTAAAAGCCATAACGGCTGGCAAGATAGCTCAGCGGACTAATCGCCTGCTTAAGCAAGCTCAGGGACTGGGGTTCAATCCTTGGCACTACAAGCAGTGCCAGCCCCATCCCTGGGTACACTGAGCCAGCTGCGAAGACCAGGCATGCTGGCACACACCTGTAATCCCAGTGCTGGGGAGGTTGAAAACAGAAGGATCACTACAAGTTGGAGCTGCATAGGAAAACCTTGTACCAGGCACATTTAAAGAAAAGCCCTAAAGCCAGTCCTCAGTTAACCTCTGTAAATACATATAAGTCTAGGAAGAGAGTATGCATTGTGGTAATTATTGAAACTGTCATACCAATTTGATTTGAAACTGTCTCATCGCTATTTGTCTCTCAATAAAATTATGGAAAAAAATACATATAAGTAACTAAACATTTTAAGATAGAATTACAGGGCTGGTGAGATAGCTCAGCAGACTAAAGCACCTGCTTAGGCAAGCACAGGGACTGTGGTCCCCAGCACCACATGCCTTGCCAGACTCGCCCCTCGGGTGGGCTGAGCTGGCCAGAGTCCTGGCATGGTGGCGCACACCTGTAATCCTAGTGCTTAGGAGGCTGAAAGCAGGAGGATCACTACAAGTCTGAGCTTCATAATGAGACTCTGCAATAACCAAATACATAAATAAAATGAAGATAGAATTACATCCCTAATTGACTTATACCCTAGTCATAGTCACAGGGCCTCAGGTGAGTCCACAGTATGCTTAAAAATCTTGTACTTTCCTGATTAGTTTTGCCTTTTAATATTTCACACAACCTCTTCTCTCAAAAGCACCAGGCTTACTTTTCCTGTCAGTTGATGCTGATTTCTTGAATAGCACTCAGACAGGTAGCTATTGTCCTACCACCATCAAGTCTTCAAATCTGCTGTTATTTGTTGTATGCATGTTTTCTTGCTTCCTTCTTGTTAGAAAAGATACTCTTGCTCCTGTCAAACTTTAAATAATTATACTTACATTATATATTGTATTCTCTTACCTTCTGCTAGGGCTTTAGTCATTGCTACTACCCATCACAATCTTCTTTTCTTAAATCCTTCCTGTCAATAAAGAATGGATAGCTGGGGAGATGGCTTGGTGGAATAAGCGCTTCCTGGCAAGCGCAAGGGCCTAAATTCAATCCCTGGTTCTGCAAAAAAAAAAAAAAAAAAAGAAGAGCGTTAACCTTGCTTAAACTGCGAATGGAAGTGAAACCTAACTTGAATCACTTTGGGGCTGGGGAGATGACTCAGTAGAATAAGCGCTTGACTGGCAAGCACAAGGGCCTGAGTTCAAATCCCCAGTTCCGCGAAAGAAAGGAAGGAAGGAAGGAAGGATATTGCCTGCCATCTTCAAACACAAATAAGGGCTCCCTTTGGCTCCACAGCATATACTGCAGACTTTGCTGCAGCACATATCAGAACTCCTGAAAAGAGTTGCCCACTTTTGCTTTGGCACCCTCCATATGCTCTTCATTCACTGTCAAATTTAGTTGTCTCTCCACTCTTCCATTTAAACTACTCTTGTCATCAGCTTCTTTCAGATTGACAATTCTAGTAAACATTTCTCTTTCCTCTCATTCTTCCCCTCATATGTTTCTGCCCACTTTTCTCCTTTGATTGACCTTCCTTCTTCTAGCTGAATTCTAATGTTAGCCGTACAGTTTGCTTCTGAACTACCATCTTTTCCCTTTTGGGAGCCTTCCCTCCATTAACCACTTTAAAGTTTTATACATTGTTAATGAATCCCAAATTTATATTTCCTATCTGACCTCCTGATTTCATTTGTTTATCCAACTGCCATTTTGAGATCTCTTTATGTATATGAAAGGAATGTCATACTTAGACTGTCTTTAAAAGATTGTTTTATTCCCTTAGGTTCATTCCATCATAACTATTCTCTCAGTGTTGACCGTTTTAGAAAATGATATAACAATCTTCCAGTTGCTGCAAGTAAAAACCTAGAAGTCATCCTGCATTGCCCCATTGCACAGCCCCTATATCCATATCCATCAGATGGCCTGTTAGTATTTGACTATAATCCTTTTGTGTTTCCCAAATAAAAGCATACTGGTTCTGCAGTAGCAACAGCTTCCTGATAAGAATGAGTGTTTTCTCCAAATCTGGCTTCCTGTATATCATTTGTATGACCCTTTCCTAAGAATAGAGTAAGCACCCAGAGAATGAATAAAATGGAGCAGCATAATGTGGTTTCCTAGATACAGAAGTTGCTTTTTTAAGTTTGCTACTGAGCACAGCTGAAAGCTTAGATGGTTGCTTCAAACTTTCTGCTACCCAAGCTATATTCTGTTGTTTGGTTTGAGAGACTATATAGTGTCATATGCAATTTTTCCATTTCATTTTGAAAATGTCTTAATTTTTTTACATGTTAATATTTTTCAGTTATGACATGCAACGATTACATCCCTCGCTCATCCAATGATTATACCTCACAAATGTATTCTGCAAAGTAAGTTGAATGATCATTTCCAAACTATGTATACTTTTTCTCTAGGTTTGTTAACAAAATTTTATTTAACATTTAACATCTCTCTTCTCTTGTTCTCCGTATCTCTACTCCAATTTTTTTATTCCCTCCAAATGTAGTCTGTGTACCATCCTTTTAAAAAGTAAGTGGTTGCCTCTTACATAGATCCCACTCCGAGAACTATGGAAAATGTAAAATAGTGTTAGTGATGAAAACATATTGCTGGGGCCAGGGATATAGCTCAATAAGAGGAAAGCATATTACTGATTGACCTTTGATCATTGATCATTCTTTCTTTACACTGATATACAGATCTGTAATAGCAGCATGGGCCAGCCCCACAGTGGGACTTTGCAGCTTTATCAGTGTTCACTTTTTCATTTGAGAAATGTCCTCAGCATAAGAATTAGGCTTCAAATCAAACAGCTTGCACTTTGGTGAGATAGCTCAGTGGCTTAAGCGCCTGCCTGGCAAAGACAAGGTCATGAGTTTGATCCCTGGTATTAAAAAGAAAAAAAAGTTCAAAACAAATCACTTCCAAAAAAAATCAAACAGCATGGTAAGCCAAGCATGGTGGTGCATGCCTGTGATCCTCTTGGGAGGCTGAGGTAGGAGGATCACTGAGTTTGAGGCTAGCCTGAACTAC